CGCTTCTAGTAACAAGTGCCTTACTACTAGTAACAAGAAGCTACTAGAAACAAGTGCCACGCTAGTAGTAACAGAGTGCCACTACTATAATGATCGCAGAGTGGGAGAGTGGGCGTTGAACCGCGGGTGGGGAGGGGGGCACTCCCGCCCTATCAAAATCCAACGATGCAGCCCCCCTTCCTTACGCAAGATAGAACTCAGGTAGCTAACGCTACCTTTCGTGATTATACAACCGCATCTTTCTATAGAAACGTAGCAATGCACTTCCAAAGTCATCACTCTGGTTTGTCACAAAGATGCCAGTGCGCATATAACTGTGTAGCTCGACGGCGCATGTCTTCACAAGTATAACGTGGTGAAAAGCATGTCGTTGTCCGGTGTCAAAAATGCGCCTGTGCATGTTCGAGAACACATGCATGTGTGTTTCAGTGTGTCCCATAAATTGTCCTTTCAAAAGCATGCCGTTTTGACTTTCGGTTCATCTGTGGGACCCTGGGAAATAGTATTGCATCTCTGTCGTGAGGAAGAAGACAAGCGAAGGTTCACCGAGCGCATGCTGTCTAAGCGAAAAAGATGAGAAGTGTTTCCATTCTTGATTGCGTACGTTGGTCTCTCTTGTCGCAGGGGCATTTGGTGGGGCGGTTGATGTACGCCACACAGGTTCACTCCCCACATTCTGTCGCACTTAGTCTTCTTTCCGATAGGCCGACTCGAACATGACCAGCGTTTCGACGCTTTCAAGTGCATGTTTTTAGGTGAACAAGAAGCTAGTAGCAAAGGGCATTACTATTAGGAGCAAGGACGCTACTGGGGGCTCCTGGCCTTACTACTAGAAGCAAGAAGCTACAAGGAACAAGTGCATCGCTTCTAGTAACAAGTGCCTAAGTGCCTTACTAGTAGTAACAAGAAGCTACTAGGAGCAAGGACGCTACTGGGAACAAGAAGCATTTTCACCTCAAAACTGTACCTGGAAGGTCAGCTCGCACACGACTGTCTGAACTCAAAAGTGGAGTGTTGTGAGCTGTGCCCTCTCCATTTCAGGTCACCCCACAATCCTTTATTTCTTTGGCTCCCCTCCCTACTTAAGTAAGTAGGTGCCTTAATTAAGTAAGGGAGGATTAGGAAGCTACTAGCTACTAGTATGCTACTAGCATGGACGCTGGATAGCTCACGCTTCTTCAAGCAAGTTCCCCCCACCCTAAAGCAGGGGTCTTGCTTGAAGAAGTGCTCACACTATTCATTTGGTTCCTAGATATGTCAAGAAAGACACTTTCCAGTATTTGTCTAATTACCGGTGTTTCTTTCAAAACCAAACTCGTGACTCGTCTCACCCGAGAAAAAAACACGCAAATTATTGTGATGAAAAACGATACTAAAACAAAAATGACAGTGTTTGCCGTGTTTTTTTTTCCGGTTGTTTTTTTGTGTGTGTTTTGTTTTTTCCGAGACTTAAGTCTTTTGTTGCCTTTCCACGCCCCGCTTTCTTCATGTTTTCTACGCTGCGTGACAGGTTGCAAGAAGGGATACAAGTGAGAGAAAGTGATGACAGGATGCAGCAAGCTGTGAGAACTGGAGAAAGAAGTGAAAGTGAGGGCCTCCAACCTTAAGATCCTTAAAGTTTTCCTAAAAGTCTAGAAACCAAATTATTAGTGCGCGAGCTATCCTGCGTCCAGTCGGTAGTAGCTATTTAAGCTACCAGCTACCTCTAGCTACTAGCGGCCTACCCCCCCATTAAAAAAAAAAACTAGTCTTCAAAATCAATAGTTTAAAACTGGTCATGCTTAGATTTCATGTTTTTTCCGTTTCTTGCCTGGCAAAGTAGCTGGGCTTCTCCGGCATAGCCTTTGGCACATTGCCAGGTTGTGCCGTTCTTCTCGTAGCCGTCGGGAGTGACGAAGGGATCTGGACAGAAACAACCGGGAAGCTCGTAGTAGAGCTGCCTCAGGCAGAAAAATAAAGAAAAAAATTGCGAAAAACTTAATGTTAATTACATTGTTCAACAATGTGTTCGTTTCGATGGCTCAACTGACCCTGAGACTGCTGAGGACTGTGACTGAGGTAGCCAAAGAGGATCTGAAGCCGAAGGAGAGCAACGTGGAGCCGGCAGTTTTAAGCTTCGCTCCGACATCGGTGGTGCCCCGGCACCTGCTTTATTGCTAGTAGCGATGGCCACCTGGTAGCTTCTTGTTTCTACTAGTAAGGCACTTGTTACTAGAAGCGATGC